TGTTATCAGGTGTATCTGATTGTGTACAATAGAAAAATAATAATAATAAAAAAAATAAAAAAAATAAAAAATAAATAAAATAAAAATAAATATATAAATAAATATATAAATAAATAAATATATCAATAAATATATCAATAAATATATCAATAAATAAATAAAAATAAAACCAAAAAAACAATAAAAAAATCAGGATTTTGAGCAAAGTTTTTACCATTAAATTATGCAAAAGGTGTCAGACGCAAAACATTTCTGTATGATTCAGATATGATTCATTTGGCGTTATAGGGTTAATCCCGGTTGCAAAAGGCTGCCTCCCAAGTCCACGAGGGAATTTATTACCTCTAAGTTAAAAAAAATGGAGTCAAAACATTATAAAATTACCTGAAAGATAAAGAAAAGCCAGAAGTTAAAGGGCTTCTCTTTGATGTTTGCCTTCCCACACACCTTCAAAAGAGTTCTCATCTGACAAATCTGTGAAATTCAAGAGGAGAACCAATGAAAACTACCATTAAAGGCTGTGTTATATTTTGAATTAGAGGCATTTCGGGGATGGATAGCGGGATCTGCGGAGCATGAATGGGCCCTTTGTTCTGCGTGTGTAGACTCATTTGTTTGGCGCGTCATGAGCTGGAAACTCGGTGAGAAACGAGAGGATTACAGACCGCGATGCGAGTATATTTTAATCCACACAATTGTTGATTATTGCTCGGTCTTTGCGGAGTCCTAAGCCCACTTCCTCAAGTTTGAGACCTTAATTTACAGGCTGCATTTCACTCTTTTGGCTTGCCAAGTCATTAGAATAAATCAAGTCTAACTCTCAGCTGGTTAAAAGGAGCTATGATTAAGAATTAAATGTTGTGCACCTAATTAATTCTGTTTTTGTGCCTTTGCACAATCCCCAAAGTCCAAAAATTAAAACCATTATGTGTTTTTTTTTCCCTTTCTTAAAACACAGTCACGGGCAGCTGAGATTACTATTTTTTTCTCCTTCTAGAAGTTAATTCGGAGAACTCATTAGACTTAGTCAATCAATATTCTTGGCTGGTTTTGTCTTCCATATTATTCACCACCCTGGCGTGAACCTTAGATATATGATTAATATTTATGGAGACTGTCAGGAGCTGTCAGGATAATGTGATTCAACAAGGCTTCAAAACTCAAGAGCAGTTGATGTCCTTATAAATCAAAGGGTAGAAACCCCACAAAGCCCAATAAAAAGAACCCGGTTAGAAACGTGTAACCTTTCCGTGGGGACACACTGTGTGATTTATTAGTAAAAAAAGATGTTTACGCTTTCTCATTCTATTATGTGCTTTAAATACGGGAGAAAATGAATATGTCAAAGAGAGCGAATCAGTTCAGGAGCCATGACTGCAACTCATGCATCACAATGGAGGCTTCTCTTTTATCCA